CCGGTCTAGCGTTTACTCTCAAACTTTTCTTCGCTCCCACTTACGTTTCACTGAAAACTTAACTTTTATAAATAATATTTACTTTTAATTATTTTCTCAGCAAATTTATGTCGTGTGGTAACTGCCGTATTGACGAGGTTCAATTGTAGCAGTGGCAAGAAATGCTTACGACTTTATGAACCGAAACTATTCTCTCGAGTTTTTAAAAAATTCTTCCAGTCTCACAACTCTTCTAGCCTTTCTTGCTCATAAACAATGATTCTTTTTCGTTCTTTCAATCATAATTTAAAGCTTAAGTGCGCTACTTCCGGAAAATTTTCCAACATATTACAACTTCAAAACTTATTCTGTCTGGAACTTTCAACTTGATCTGGCATCTCTTTGCAGTGCATGCGAAGCGCAGAATTTGTGCTGAGATTTAATGGAAGGGATTGCAGGTGACCGATGAAGGACTGATGAAGAAATTAGTGAGCGATGTGACACAGTACTTAACTGAAAATGATGCAGATGGATTTGATATTGACTGGGAATTTCCGGTCTGGAGCCGCGATGCACAGCCAACAGACAAGAAGGCTTTCGCTCTTCTCATTAAAGTAACAGCCAAGAATATTGTTTTAAATAAAAATTTTCAGCAGCAATGAATGCTGATGTTGGATTATTCGGATTTTGTGCGTCGCCAGAGCAACATGCCCTAGAGACAAATAAATCTCTAAGAAAAATAACAAGTCGCATTCTAGCTATCAGTAAAATTGCTTTACTTCAAACATTTTAAAATTTGAGATTGCAGTTATTTTTCTACACGAGTGATATTTGTGTTAAAAGTTTTCAGGAAATGCGGGAAGCTTTTGATAAAGCAAAAGCTGGCCTTTTGCTTACTGCGGCTGTTGCAGCACCCTTTACAGTCGTCGACAAAGCCTACGATATCGATGCATTCAACAAGTTATCATTTGCCTTTGCTGTGCAGAAAACACTTTTCCGCATTCTCACTGTAGTGTAAGATCCAGGAAAGAGATTTCTGCACGATTTTCAACAACTTCGAGTGGTATTGAGAGTAAATTTGTCCGTAAATTATCGGATTTCGTTATAACTTGTCAGGCTAAATTTGATACACTCTTCCGGAATGGAAATAGGAAAAAAAA